AGGTGATGCCGACAATATTAACATTAACATTATTATTTTTATTAATATTATCAATATTAGTACTGGAGTCATTAAAATCGTTATTGTTACTATCATTATAAATTTGTTATAATAATCATTACCATCATTATTCTTATTCTTATCTTTATTCTTATCATTACCACTATCATTTTCGTTATCATTTTCATCACAATCGTTATTATTACTACTATCATCATTATCATTAACATAACTGCCGTTGCTACTATCAATGATGATGTGTAGGGAAATTATGGAGAAATGGTAATGATAAAAGTAATAAATGGTGATAATGACGATGATGATAATAACGATAATGAGGGTGATAATGACGATAATGGTCAAGATGATGATGGCGATGAAGATGATGATGATGACGATGATAAAGATGACGATGATGATGGTGGTGGCAGTTTGGTAATGGTGATAATGATTCTGATAATGATGATAATGGAAATCATTATGATATAATAACAACATTAAGCAATTTAACTCTTATTTTCCTCACAAGGGACAAATCGTATCATCCTGACTAACCAGCAGTATTATACTTCAAACAAACAAACAAACAAACAAAAACAATGAAAACTGAAAATTTAGATCGGCAAAATGGTCGAGTTTTGACTTCACTGAAAGTTCTGAGCATCAAAGAGTTAACCATAATAAATAATGATATTGATTAATATATAATAATTTATTCTTAATTAAAGTAATTAATTAAAATAATCTATAATACATAATCTAAGTGGAGATCTGGGATTAACAGCATCTTTTGCCAGTGTCGGTTTAAGCATATTTATGAATAAGTAGTCGATCTTGAGTTGATTTATAACGTTAGTTCTTAATCGCATTGGGAATCGTCATCAACACCTTATAAATAATTTATAAACATGGTATCGTTAAGAAGGTGGATATTTAATTCTATCCTTCACCGTATTGGGCATCATCGCTAACAAAACCTTTCACCAGCGCCTATTTCTATGAAATTATAAATAAGACAAGAAAGTGAGGAACAAGAAAACACACCGAGAACCTTTTCTTTTTCCCAGCTGTATTGCTTCTTGACCTGAAGAAGGATACAGGAACACAAATAAAAGGCAGTCGGCATTTTCGTTATGTTCTCTTGTTCTCCCTTCCGTCCGTTCATCATTTACAAGCCGAATACAAGCTAAATCCAGCACAAGTGTAATCGTAAATGTGTCACCAAAAGATGAATCACTGGGTTAGATATTCGCCCCCTAGAGTGAGGCACGTGGGCTCCGACGTCGTAAGAATTAGTCTGTCTTATCTCTTATCTCCAGACGTCTTGTCACTCACGTTCTGCTCCGTTGGTAACTAGCTTCCAGACTCTATGACCTCACGATCGGGGAGGTCTATTTTATCGGTATATTTAGCCTTATGTGAGTTTTAATCACTCGGGTGCAGGGCGATCATGGTTATCGGATTGTTCAAAGGGTGTTTTGACGTTCGGATTGGAGATCAAAGTCAGTAATCACGTCTTAGGAGCAAAGATGTCATTTTCTACTCTACTGTCCAGTCGATTTATTACTAGTCGGAAGTATCATCTGGATATCATCATCACAGTAAATATGTTGGTCACACACATCCATGTTTCGTTCACTTCCAGATATGCTTGAACGAAGGGCACGGGCGTAGATGCTTAAGTAACACGTCGATACTTTTTCCATATCACACAACTTACGGTGCTCATCAAGATCTTCACTGGTGTATCTGTTCCCTTCGTTTCACAGCAGAGAGAACTCCGGCGAACAACGGAGCAAAGTCGCTTCTCTCTGTCCACCAACGTTTCGAGTTCTGATGAATCACACTCCGCGGGGCTGAGGCGCGGTCACCGTTTACACTATCGCCTTGCCTCGCGGCGAGAATGCCGGTTAGATCGCGGTTTCAGGTATCAGTTTGGTAACTACAGGAGATATTGCTTTGTAACTCTCATCCCCTTGCATATCTCTCACTCTCTCTCCCTTGCTCTCTTTCCTCTCTCACTCTCTCACTCACTCTCTCGATGTATGCGGACAACCCACTGACTCTTGTTAAAATTACGAATGACTCTTTTCATTCACACATAATACATATCTTCTTTTCCATTTAATCGACCGCAAGTGCTCCCCCAGAAGCCCAATTTTACTACCAAAAGTTTACGGGGAAGCCAAGACATCACTCCAGCGACAAGAGAGTATATATTACCTTTTCAGCGTCCTGTCGTTCACTGCGGCGGACACCCAGCGCAACGTAGTCATATCAGCGGCGGTGGGAACGTGACCTATGTACCGGGCGCTCAATCTCCCGATCCGCGAATGCTGACGCTTCCTCGACCGCGACTCGACTGTGTCCTACGGCCTGTACGGGGCCGCCGCGTCGAAAGTAACGCATTTAAGTGTTGTCCGATTTCGTGACTTGCGGAAATCGCTCGACGTCGGCTGATTTTCCCTTCTTTTTTTCTCTCATTCTTTCTCCTTGACTTTCGTCTTAATTTGTTCTTACTGGCAACTGTGTCTTGTTCGATTAGTAACTTTTATCATTACTATCAGTCTCGCCGATATCGAAGATAGCAGTTTTGTAAACTCAAGCACAAGCATACAGCATGGACAATGAGCCTGCATAATGAAGTGCAGGTATTAATAGGATCTTTTAAAAGGTTTCATGAAGCAGCAATTTCGCCCTGACCTCTTTGCTGACCCAAGAAGCAATTTCGAGGATGACCTACAAAGCGAATGAGTTTTTTGTGTGAAGAGCACAGGAATTATATTAATTACATCGATTATAACGAAAACTATGAAGAAGAGGAAAGGGATGAGGAAGAGAGGGGGGGGAGGGGAGGAGAGGGAGAAGGTGGAATAGGAGTAGGAGGAAGAGCGAAGAGGAGGAAGAGCGAAGAGGAAGAAACGAAGAGGAAGAGGAGAACGAGAAGAGAGTAGCAGCAGGAGGAAGAAGAGGATGAGCACGAAGAAGAGGAAGAAGAGGAGGTGGAGCAGCAGGAGGAAGAGGAAGATGAGAAGAGGAGCAAAAGAGCTGATAAAGATGGAGGCAAAAAAAGGAAGAATGAAAATAAGAGGAAAAAAATGAAGAAAAGGGAGAGGAAAGGAACAGAAGGAAAAAAAAAAAAGAAAATGGATTATCCAACTACGTGAGGGAACTTGTATTTTGCTTATCTGATCTTTCACTTTTAAAAGAAAATGTTATTCATAATAATCCATACGTAGATTATGCTAATCACAAGTCATAACTCTAAAGACACTATCGTTTTCTTCCTCGTGACCGCGACATCAGCACATGGGCAATGTCCATGAAGGTATTTAGAAGGCAGTGAGTAATCCAAGATATCAGATAAGATTTCTCGTCATTATTCAGTTCATATCCACATTGCAACACATTTTCTTCGAGAAAGGCGCGCACGCACACATACACACACGCACAAACACACACACACACACACACACACACGCACGCACACATACATACACATACACACATACATACACACACACAAACACACACACAAAGACACACACACACACACACACATATCTATAAAGAGTTTGGATATATACATTTTGTGGGGTGTATGTCCGAGTGTCTGTCTTTCCCTGTTAAATTTTGAATGGAAAAAAGAAGAGGTTGGATACCTTTTGAAAGTGGCCGGAGATGCCTCTGAGAATATTTATAAATATATATTTTTTTCGACGGCAACGAGACGTCCGGAAAAAAAAATATAGATATCGACATACACATACATACATACACACATACATGTAAACCTCAGGCTACCCTTACTAATCGATATTTCAAAACTCACCGTGAAAAGGAAGGAAACCAAGAACAAAAAAAAAATGTGCTGATCATCTCTCTATAAGAAAGGTGATCGGCAAAAGAGTCTCACTTACAGACAAATATCACGAAAAGAAAAATGCTGATTGTTAGAAAAGACACACTAACGGGTAAGATAACGAGATTTTGGAACGAGCAATGTGGATTGAAGGATGGTAGGTCGTGCTTATCAAATATGTTTTTTTTTTTTTTTATTTCTTTATTTTTAACGAAATTTGTTGAGAAACTGATACAGGAAGAAAGTTGCGTAGATAATATATGCACGCAATAGACTGAAAGGGAAACTGGAACAAATAGGTAGGGTTAAAGGAAACCTTGAATGGATGTAGTCCTCTCTATAGGGAAAAACAAACGAATTCAGTAGTAATTAGAAGTCAATACTCAAGTATTGACTGGGGTGCCAAAGGGATCAGTCTTAGCACCAGTTGTGTTTATTTTTATTTTTATTTTATTGGGATCGATAGCTGCCTAAAATTATTTACAGACGGTGCCGAATATCGAAGGGTAGTAAGTGAAGGTCCGTGGCAAAATCTCCCAAAAGACGTTTCTATTTTGTTCAACTTGAGTTGTAATTTGGAAAATTGGATTTAAACCCCCCAACAAATGCCATGTACGGTGATGGTGAAGATCGACCCTGATTCCAACACACAAAAAAAACTACTAAAATTACTAAATACAAAAAAAAAATGAAGAAGAAAAAAGTTAACTGGTATCTCGAACAAATGGCCCTATCAACGATTACGCTCACAAATCGAATACACAGACATGGTTAAAAAAAAACAATCATAACACAAATTAAGTGCAAATTAGGACCCACTCTTGAAGTCACGTGACAGTGTTACGAAGACACAATTTTAACGAAGCACAGATAGACGGACGAGTTCAACGAACAGCTACTCGGGTGCCAACTAGAAAGAAAGATAAAAAAAAAAAATCACGCTTGTCACATGGTCGAATGGAAAAGAGAAACGGAATAATTACATTTAAGTCTTTGGAACGGTAAAGTTAGACAAAGAAAAATTACCTTTTTCAGTGATAGAGATCAGAGCGAAAAGCCGAGAATGTGAAGGAAATAGTTCCAAATTGGCTTATGGATGATTAGAACCACCCACTCAAAAACACGGCATGTGCTAAGAAACCCAGCAGTTCAAAAAGATAATTAATGATCTAAGAATAGCAGAGGGACCTCCTGAACTCGGTTCTCTCCTGTATTTGTACACACAAAGAACAACTTTAAGAATACATAGGAATCGGAAAGAGACAGAAGATAAAGTTAATAATAGAAATAAAGTTGCAGTCCGCAAAAATAGTTATGAAGGAATACCTAGAAATAGACACACAGACACAGACACAGACACACACACACACACATGCACACACACACACACACATATATATATATACATACACACATTCATCATTGTTAACATCAGCAAAAAAAAAAAATAAATAAATAAATAAAAAATAAAAGAGACAGAAAAGAACTAACGCACAGAGCAAATGCGTGGTCGTATCAATACGTCACCTACGTCATCTCTTGGCGTGACGTCAGCATGGGGCTTGTTCTGTGCCTGCCCTTTCTTCGATACCCGTCTCCTATCGACGCCTTCTCCCCCCCCCCCCCCCCCCCATCCTTCTTAGTCACCCTCCTCAATACCGACAACCCTTTTCCCTCTTCCTCTCTCCTTCTCTCCCTCTCCCTACTTCTTCACGGACCCCGTCACCTCTCCCCTCCTCCCCCTCCTTTTACGAGAGACGGCATTTCTGAAATTTGCATTTGCGTTTGGTACTAATGACTGAATTAAACGGGAGAAAAAAGAAAATGGAGAAATGAAACAAAAGGAAAGGAAAACAATCACCGTATCGGCGAACTCTAGACGACGTGGAACCAGGAAGAGCACTGATAAATGGATCCACGTGTCGTACGGGCGGAGAAAACCGCACTGGACAACGCAGAAGAGTATCACGTGACTATCTCACACCCGGGAGATTATTCAAGGTCGAAGTCAAGGAAAATTGGAGACATAGGCCTACGAATGGGCAAGAACGGAGAGTCTTACTTCTGACTGAATACACCAAAATAGAAAAAAAAACTAAGAAAAAAGAGAAAAAGAACAAAGAAAAGACCAAATGTGAAAATATATAGAAAAATCCGTCAAAGATTCTTCTTACGATAAAAACCCAATGCCGTTTCTAGATTACCAAAATCAATGGTTCACGAAGCGGATACGAAAGCTCAAAGAAACAGATTGGTACCACTTAGCTTGAGCCCGAAGTCAGCCTGTGTTTCCTCTTCCGTTTTTATTTATTTATTTATCTATCTTTTATCAGACGTTTAACATTTCTTACCGACACTCGGAAATACTAAACCAAATTCACGCCTTTGTTAACAGGTGACTTCCTATATATATATATATATATATATATATATATATATATATATATATATATATATATATATATATATATATATATATATATATATATATATATATATATATATATATATATATATATATATATATATATATATATATATATATATATATATATATATATATATATATATATATATATATATATATATATATATATATATATATATATATATATATATATATATATATATATATATATATATATATATATATATATATATATATATATATATATATATATATATATATATATATATATATATATATATATATATATATATATATATATATATATATATATATATATATATATATATATATATATATATATATATATATATATATATATATATATATATATATATATATATATATATATATATATATATATATATATATATATATATATATATATATATATATATATATATATATATATATATATATATATATATATATATATATATATATATATATATATATATATATATATATATATATATATATATATATATATATATATATATATATATATATATATATATATATATATATATATATATATATATATATATATATATATATATATATATATATATATATATATATATATATATATATATATATATATATATATATATATATATATATATATATATATATATATATATATATATATATATATATATATATATATATATATATATATATATATATATATATATATATATATATATATATATATATATATATATATATATATATATATATATATATATATATATATATATATATATATATATATATATATATATATATATATATATATATATATATATATATATATATATATATATATATATATATATATATATATATATATATATATATATATATATATATATATATATATATATATATATATATATATATATATATATATATATATATATATATATATATATATATATATATATATATATATATATATATATATATATATATATATATATATATATATATATATATATATATATATATATATATATATATATATATATATATATATATATATATATATATATATATATATATATATATATATATATATATATATATATATATATATATATATATATATATATATATATATATATATATATATATATATATATATATATATATATATATATATATA